GTCGAGTCGAGAGAAAGATTCGCGTCCCGAAGCCGCGAGGTCGAAGCCATAAATCGATCGATCGACGCGGTAGCAACCGCGTTCCCCCGAGGTCTCATGGGTGTACTTAGAGACCAGAAACTGTTCGCGGTATACGTACAGATCACTCCTAAAACACCGAGACTAACATCGACCTGACCGAGGTTAATATCGACTTTGCACGCTCGATTGTCCGCACCTTGGGAATTCCATTTGGACTCGTGTCTATAATTTCTCTCCCGTTGGATCTCCCTGAGTAGAGAAACGTTTTACGCGTGTACGTGATCGATGGACGATTACCGATTCTTCTTGAATCGAGCAATAACCATCGTGTACGATCGGCCGAAGAATTCGACGGAAGGTTCTCGATATTAAGCTGGAGGATCGATCTGCCCTCGGTGCTACGCCATCAAGATCTTATTGACGTCACGACAAAAATGGCGACAGCTAGCGGTATGACGTTAGAGCTACATAAACCGAGGAGTCTAGAGAACGGACGAGGTGAAACCTCAAGGTCCTCGTGGCGGCGGGCCGCATGGCAGCCGCGAGCACAACGAAAACCAACCCCTCACAACGGCAACACCATCTTCTGGTTTCCCATGCGAACCGTGCAAACGTTGGAGAAAACCAACCAACCACCCACCCGTGTCTATCGACCACAGACGCCATTTGCCGGCGCCGTGCTCCGTCGCGACGCCAAGTTCACTGCGCTCCCCCTTCCGACCGTCAGCCGGACTGTGTGCGTTTCCACGCACGAGCCGCGACATCATCTACACGGTCTCGCTTCACTCTCCAAGGGAAAAATTCCAAATTCGTAGAAATCCGTCGTTCTGGTCTTCCAAAAATTTGGAATTCCTTTCCTGAATTTTCTTTTGGTTCGTTGAAATCGACATGTGGTGTTGCAAGAGGCTCGATGCCTCCGATTGGCCCGTCACAACCATCGTTCGAGGTAACGCTTCACTTTTGCACGTCGCTAATTTTTCCGATAAAAATTCTCTCCGCTCGGCGAATCAGCCGTGGCAATAACGACACCAAGCCCGCTTTCACCAAGCGCTTTCCTTTTCCAAGCGATTTTCTTCACGCTGTTTTTCCTTTGTTCTGTCAAGCTATTTTTAACGAGATTCCAATCGTTGCGGAATCTTCAGCACACCGAGTCAGTGATTCGCACACTTATCGTGATGACAGTTGGCTGTCTGATTTTTTTTTCGAAGAAGGCACGTTTGCTTTCTCGTTCGTTTCGTTTTGTTTCGTTTCGTTTCGTTTCGTTTCCCCATTCTTGGTACTCGTTGGAGAGAAGCTTTACATAAACGCCTACTGGCTTGTACACTGTTCCTATTACACTTGCGCTGCTATTATTACCCCGCTCGGTCAAAGTCGTGAATCTAGGATAAGTTCTAGGAACGTCTGTGCAAACTGTTCTGGTCGATGAGCTATTTACTTTTAGACCATGTCGTAGGATACCTCGCGAGCTATCCGATAACGCTACACGGAGACAACACTTTTGCCAGCGTTTATCGATTGGCTGGAATAATTACACATCGGTTGGAGAAACATTCGCAAAAGAGAGAGAAAGACAACTTGTTCGACAGCTAAAAACTTAATAGGGTTGCGTTCGATCTTGCGGCAGACGAAGCCGTACAGGCAACGCCAGAAAACGTTTAGTTGATCGCATCGTTCGTCCTAATTGCTTATTCGATTTAATCCCACTTGTGATGCAACGAACATCTCGCTTCAGCCTCTCGGATTCTTTCAATTCGCTGGTGTTATTCAAACTGTCCACACTAATGGCAATAGTATAGCACGAATTCGAGTTTTCGTCAGTTCTCTTCTACTCCGAGATTCTATATGTAAATGTTCTTCTAGTTTTGAATATCTTCTGAAAATGTAGTTCTGAAAATCTAGTTTTGAATATCTTCTGTAAATGTTCTTCTAGTTTTGAATATCTTCTGAAAATATCTTCTGAATAATTTCTTTTTTTGATCTCGTACGATCTTGGTTTCCTGTAACAGACGATGTGAAATTCAAATTTCATGCTTACCTTTTTGTCCGTTTCTAACTATTGATATTCAAAGTATCCTCGTGGGAGGTTTTTTCATTTCTTTTTTTTTTTTTTTTTTTTTTTTTTTTTT